AGATTCACGAGGCTAGTTATGCATGTAACTGCTATCCCAAATTGTTAGTACAACCCATCTCGTCACTGCAGTAGCTGTAATCCTGGGTGGCTCCTGCTCATGAATTCAAAGGACAACGGCAGGATCCCGAAGCTGCTCACTTGCTACACCATAGCATCCTCACAACATCTTTTTTTTTCTGCACCTTCATCCTTCCCAGCTATAAATATTAAAACAAAATATAGCCACCTCACCTCCCCGAAACAAATGGAGGAGCCTCTCATGCACAGAAAAACTCTCGGAGGCGCTTGGAGAGTCAGTGTGAGGGAGAGGAAGGAAGGAACCAGCTGCAAACTGATAAGGCCTTCAGCTGCAGCAGCCCCACCAGCTATGAAGGAAAATGACTCTCAAATCAACTTTTGTGCACTGGAGAGCGGGCAACCCCAGCTGCAATCACTGCTACAAAGTTGACATTGAAACTGCTTCTAGGGAGCTTGGGATTGCTTTTTTTTTTTTTTGTCACGGTTGCTTTTCTTTTCTTGTTTTCTGCCTTTTTTTTTTTTTCTTTTATGTTGGGAAGCGAAGGAAAACAGAAAACGAGAAATAAACCTTTTCATATCCTCCAAAAATTGTATTAGCAAACTGTCTGGTTTAGAGCTAACACAGTCCCGTTTCTGGGACCTTCCTTCAGGTTGTGTTGGAGCATGTGCTGCCCAGGGCTCAGGTACAGATGTGGCTCTGGCAGGGGGAGCAGGGGCACAGCCCCACCATCTCCTACATCAAGAAGCTTCCAGTTACAGGCTAAAGCCTACTGGGTCTAAACTGGGTTCACCCATCTGGCTGTACCAACTAAGTTCTCTCCAAAACTTGGAAGTGGAAAAGGATTTCAAGCATTGTCCAAATATATTTGGTTGGTTGGGGTTTTTATAAGCAGGTCAGCTGGGTATGTTTGAAAACCTTGAGCTTAATGTACAGGAAATAAGAAATCACCACCGTGACACAGTGTCATGATAACATATACTGTTTCCCCAGGTTACGTATGATTTCAGATGTTGTATATTCATTTGTCGTGCCATACTACTTGCTGTACAGTCTAAAAAGTACCAGAACTGCATTTCAAAGACTCTGAGCAGCTTTATCAGCTCTTTATAAAATGCTGCTGTATAAATAAGTAAAGCTAATTTGCACAAATCCAGTTCATGTATTGGTGTCACATGCCAGTATCGAGTGTAAGTGCAATGAATAGGGCTGATGACTTCCCCCTTTAGGAGGATGGGCTCAGTTCGAGTGCTCAGCAGTGTGCCACGCTGATGCATAGTCATTTACATAGCAGCCAGCTGCAGGCAGGTCTGTGAAGAAGCTACCTACCTCCCAAGCCTTGCATCACTGAAAGAGAAAAGTAAACTCGAAAAAAGTAAAGAAAAAACCCCCCAAAATTAGCCCCAAAATGCCAAATAAAAACCCCAAACCTGCGCCCAAGCTTGAATTTGCTTTTGCAATCGGCTTTGCAGGCCAGGTGAAGCAGCAGAGAGTGGAGGCGCTTGCAGTGGTTTTCCTCTGTCTGCTGGGCTTGGGTTGTTGGGGTGGTTTTTGTCAACCTGTTTATAAAAGTCAGTGTCATGCTTGTGGGTTTTGCCATAGCTGACATATATGGGTATGAGTCACCAGGGACGGTTAGACCAGATGCGGCTTGAGCTGCCTCCCAGCCCCGGGTTTAGCAGGCAGTGCCTTACCAGCCTCGACGGACCCAGCCCCGGGACTTGGAGCCTGCTTCTCCCAGGGAGATGCCCACCAGCCTTCCAGCAGCTCCACCTCAAAACCCCCTTGTGTTTTATAAAAACCAGCGGAGGGTAATGAGAGAAGAGGACGGACTCGTGTCCTCCCCACCTCGTATGCATGCTTGGAGAGCTGGCGACCAGGGTGTGAAATGATTAGCACCAAGGCAGGCTCTAAACACCTAAACCCCAGGGTCTCTAGGAGATTTGGGAGAGCAGATGGGAGTCCCTCATCTGCTGGGGACTGCGGGATGGCCACCAACGTGATACTCTAGCTGCATGGCTTAGGCTTGCATGGCAGTCCCCCTGCCCTCCTCACAGCCAGCACAAAAATGATGGACAAACTGTGGGAATAAAATGCACGTCATTTTGCGGGTGAGGTTCTAGTTAGCTTTTAATCACCACATCTTATTTTCTGTGGAAAATATGACAGAAATAGCCTGGATTTCTAATTTACCTGTAGAGGTAAAAAAAAAAAAACAAACAAAAACCACAACAGCAGCATCACCAAAAATCTTTAAATAGGACATTTTGGAGATGCATGAAAAGCAGCTCAGAAATTCATGCTGCAGGACACTAATAGTCCCAGAGTGCATAAGAGTAACTTCCTAGGCAGCCAACACCACGCAATGCTGTTTTTCAAGGCAGGGACCTGAGCAAGGACAAGCTGCAGGGCATGGACTGGCCTAGGGCAGTGGGAAGGTGGAGCTCCATCGCCTGGGAAGAGGCCCCACTTGCAACCCTGGGGAGCCAGCCAACGCCTTCATTTTGAGCAGAAAAAATAATATTAAGAATCTCATCCACGTCTCTAAGGGGTCATCTCCAGAACATCTTTTCTGTGCCCCAGCAGGAGTGGCTGGCGCCTGCTCATCCGAAAATCCCCATGCCTGGCTCTGCAAATTCAGCCAAAACACGGTGATAGCCGGGGGGTCACGTTTGCCTCACAGCCTTCGGCGGGGCGGGGGGGATGTGGCAAGCAGAGACCTGTAGCTGCGCCTGAAGTTTCTGGTTCTAATAAACTCAACAAATGGTTCCCGTCTGCGTGGTCTGTCTCTCTGCCATCTTTAAATATTTATGTCAACGTATCTATGGTGATGGGTCAGGTTATATAAAGAGGAGGAGGAAGGGGGGGCAGTGGGGAAGGACAGCATTGCTCCTACCGCAGCTACGGCAGAGGGAGAGCAAACCCGAGCGGGTTTCCCCATCCAGCCCAGACGCTCCCTCTTCTCAGCTCTTGAGCCCGGAAAGTGAACATTCATTTTTCCCAGGGCATCAGAGAGGGCTGAGCCACAGCTGAGCTCAGCTGCGCTTTGTGAGATGCCATGTGGGAGAGCGAGAGCCCAGCCCATCGATGCAGAGAGCTTCTATTGTATTATCAATATATAATTCATTAGTAGGTGAATAAAGACTAGAATAGCTTATTGCTGGTGTAACGGGGCTGAAAAGAAAGCGGGCACGTCCGTGAGCAAGCTGGTGCACACGGGGGGGGGAAGGGGGGGGTAAACAATAGCATTTAGTGCTGCTGAAAGGAGAGGGGTTGGATTTTGCCTTGGGATAACATAAACAACCCCGCTAGCCGCCTGCCAGTGACTCCAGGGAGAGTGACGCAGGGATATGCATCTTCCTGGCAAAAACCCTGGGAAGGACCTTTCCTTTTTGCTTGCTGGAGTCTAAAGGAACAGGATCTGGTAGCCAGGAGGGGATTTGCTGTGGGTGGGCACCTCCGGGCTTGGCTGAAAGTATTTCTCCCAAGATGTGCCTATTCCTCGCAAGCTGAGCGACTGCCCTGTATCTCTTCCAGATAAAGAGATAGGCTTTTTTGCCTCGCGACCGTCCTGGCAGGGGTAGATATGCAGATTGCCTCCAGGCATTAATCTGTTTGACGGACCCCCAAAACGCCGGGTGACTAAAGACAGCACTGGATTTGTGCTGGGGGTGTGAGGGACGGCACGGCGGGCAGTGGAGCAGCCTCACCGGCAGGCCTGCAACCAGTCGTGGGTTTGGTAGCTGCAAGACACCGCATGTTTTTTCCAAAACAGCCTCCAAGGCTGCTCCGGGGCCCCCCCTCCTCGCTCCTGTGCTCTCCCCCACCCTCCCACCCGGTCCTACGTCTCCCAGTGGCCAGGGTTGATGCTCACTGCCAGTTGCTCAACCTCCCAGAAGAGGAACTACACAGTTAAGAAAAAAAATCCCTTCTCAGCCCAATATAGCATCGTGCTAAAAGAGAGAACTGCAACGACACTTCATGTGAAAGTTGCCAGGCGTGCATGATCCGACCGTGCATTCAAAGCAGCTTCTGACTTAACTCGCCTTCAGCTGCGCTGGCCGAGATCTCCTGTGTGCAGCATCTACCACCACCGGCTGCATTGCTAAAGGATAATTATAGCCAGCTGCTTTTTCAAACGCATTGCTTCTGCACCTGGTTAAAAAAAAAAATGCCTATCAACTATTTCTTAAAAAAATATCTCCTGCATCTGCAGCTCAGAAACGCAGCTTTACCTTGGCAGGAGATGGCTTCCTTACCACCCCAGCGCTGCAAAGGTCCATGCAAATTTGCCACCCTAAAAGGCTTTGGAAGGACTTGCTCGGCAATATCTCCTTTAGGAGCTTGCTGCAGACATGAATCAGAGTTGCACAGCGAAGGGGCTGTTGCATGAGGAAGTTATATTTTGGCGGCAGTGGGAACTGGCAGACACACAGTCAATAGGGCAGGAACTAGCAAAACATTTTGGAGCCAAGCCAGCCCACCACAAGGCTGAAAGATTCCCACTCTCCTCACCACCGAATCCCTCTAGAGAGTCAGTAAATCGCTTAACCTGTGCTTTTCACAAGTGCTCTGAGCTCCTCAGTTTTTTTCTGGGTGCTGAAAAACCTGATTTGCAGAAGCCCTGAGCGTTCTCAGCTGCTGTGCAAAGCTGCGCCCTGCTCACCTCCCGTTCTGCAGGAGAAGTACGTTGGAAAAGCAGCACCTGCTGCCCTCGGAGCAGGCGCTGGGAGAGCTCCCCTGGCTCGTAAGCAAGCTGTGGCCAGGCCACCCACGAGCACGCACTGAGCCCCACGTGAAGCCTCAGGGGAAATTAATGCTTACGCTGGCAGAGCAGGACCTGAGCGGTGTGCGGGCAACGAAGGATAGAGCGCAGCACAGAAGGCTTCTTGCCGCTGCCGTGGGCTGATGCTCCCCAGCCCTATAGGTTGCTCCCTCTTTCCGCGTCCTCAGATAGAGCTGGGGGCTTTGCCTAAAATAAAAGGAAAAGGGTAACGCGTGAGCACAAACTAACGCAGACCCATAGAGAGGCCAAACTGCAATTGCCCAGGTGACCTTAGCGGAACTAACTGATAATTGCTGGAGCTTAACTGACAATTAATTGGAGCCAATTCACAATGAAATATTTAACTTCGCACCTTTGGTCTCACTTTAATTTTTTTTGTGCTCTTGCCTATGCCTACATTAATAGGGAATTCTCTCCTACCAGAGTTTGAGTGTTGACAAGCTCGTAAGGGTGCGCTTCCCCTTGTGCAAGCCCTGGGGAGGCTCAGCGGGTCTGCACGTGTTCCCTTGCCTGGCTGCTGGCTCTGCATCCCCACTGCTCAGCTCCGTGCTCTTACCCTGACAAAATCTCTCTCTTGCTCTTCTCAACACCGAGTAAATCTCGGCAGCGCTTACAAATAGTTTCCCCAGGTTTTGCTCTGGTTGCTCAAGAGCTGTAATTTGCCCACAGCGAGCAGCAAATTAGGGACTGGTAAGTGCAAGCACATTGACTGCAGGTCAGGGCTTTTTTGTTGGCGCGGGTGTAAGAAGAACCTGCTTGACACCTGCCCGCCTCGCGGCTTCCATCCAGCCATCCCTGGGTGCTGCCATTTCTATGACTGCGAACGAAATGGTAACACTGTACTTTTCTGCAACAGGTTTCTAAAAACCGAGGAGTCGGAGGTATTGCTTTCCTGCTCCTGAAAACGAGAGCGGGATGCCATCGCAGGGCGGCGGGAGCCCCTGCTGTGACACACAGCACGGGTCTGGCCAGGCACTGCTCTGCCACCCGCTCATTAAAGGTGCTGCTGCCTGCAGGGGAACTCCAGCAGCAGGTGAAATGGGAGTAAAGATCATGAGATGGCCAGCGTGTACGTACAGAACAAGGTTTGCGTTTTTTTTTTAATTACAGTTTGTTGGTGTATTTTGTACCAAAATAATTACCTAAACCCCATGGTTGGCTGTCAGAGGAAGAAAGGGAACTTCCAGCTCCCTGGGACAAGAAATTGCATGCTTCTAGTCTCCTGCTTATTGGGAAGAGGAAACGACGACTCTCCGGGCACATTATCCCCTTGTGAGATGGTTTGGTGCAGGTCATGTTCTCATCCCTGCCGCAAGCAGCAGAAATCCTTGCAGAGGTGTGAAAAGAGCAGCTACGCACATGCACGCCTATATGGCCAGGGCCGGAAAGGTGCCTGCTGCTTCTGAGGGAGTTTCAGTGATCACACGTGATTCAAGGGAAATGAGAGCTGGGGGCGGGGGATACGATAGCCTTTCAGGTTTCTTTGTCATATATGTGCTACTCCTGTCCATAATCATCCCTTTACATTAAAAATTGACCTGGGAAGGAGGAGCACCTAAAGCTTTAGCAGTGCTGGTGGTGAAGTTTCAACAGAGATCTTTTCTACTAGTCAATGAGGCTACAGCAGGTAACCCACGCCGATGACATGGACTCCACTGATCTGCTTGATCTCCAATAGTTTTTGATATGGCAGAACATCATCCCACCAACACAGAGCAGTGGGCAAGACCTGACTACCTAGTGTTTAAAAAAGTGAAACCATAGAGATTTCTTTCATATAAACACTCCGGTCTTTATTGTTTAAATGCGTCCTTAAGCTTTTTTTCCTGCCCCTGCTTGCGTTACTCCTCACGAGGTACCTGCCTGCTGCCCCAGCAGCTGGCTGAGGGTAGGATGAGGCTGATGAGCGTCTCCTTTTCCCCCAAAGGACCAAAGCCATCCTCTCCCTCTTGGGTGCTAAGGCATGCTGCTGGGACAGGCAAGCGCCAGCTGCCCGGAGAATATCTCTTCCCAGCACTGAAAGAATTACTGAGGGCTCTCCATGACGCAAACCCCTGAGCAATGCAGGCAGCCTCATGTACGGCAGAAAAAGAGAAGGAATGATGGCCTTTTGCAAGAAATTCATCTTTATTGAAGAAACCATGAGTCACATGAGCTGCCAGCTGGCCTGAGGAATAACAATAGCAGTGGCCTGGACAATAGCAACTGGAGCTTACAAGGGAGATTGTCTCTCTCCAGAGAGCAATACACTTCACAGTACATACATACATGTAAGTGAATCTTTCCCCACTGCTAGAAGGTGGGTATATTGGCAAGTGCGTATCGCCACTAAATCACTGCTAGACCGAGGCGTGTTGGTGACTGCCCGGGGGGAGCTTGAGTAATACTCTGGAGCAATTTGAACTTGATCCTGCTTCCAGTGAAGTCAATGGTGAAGCTCCGCTGGTTCCAAGGGAGCGGGATGAGGAGCAATAGCCCTTTCCCCATCCCCCAACGCAATTCTTTCCAATGCAAGATATTTGCAGCCATGTTGAAATGCTAACCAGGTGCTGCAGGCTGTACTGCTGTTCTTGTACGTGTGGCAGCCCCTGCCTGAGGGCCAGGACCTGCCCCGAACATCAGTACCGGGGTTTCCACATTTACCTCAATGAACAATTGCTACTTACTGTTTTTCATGGCTAAAAGCCACAACGAAGGAGAGGGCTGAAAGCTGTTGTTGGTTCAACAGGCATTTCACATAGCCGTATAGTTTACAGCAGGTTTTCCAGCAGGTGCTAAATCTGTTGCAATGATGGGTTTCAGCTCAGAAGCAGCTCTGCCTCCTTGCAATGAGGGCAAAGCACAGCAGGGAGCTGTCGTTTGAGCTAGACTGAGAGCCGAGTTCTTCAGTTGATTGAGGCTTTTAAAATTTCTGTTTATTATTGATAAGGTGATGTAAAGAGACGTGGAGTTGGACATTGTATTGTTTGATCTGGCTGGAGATCAGTGCTGTTCTCTTATGGATTCAAACTTCAGTCCTGTGTGTATGTGTAATATCAAAGTCCTTTTGTATTGCACAGCAGCGCAGTGGGTTAGCGAAGCTAGATAAACACAGAGCTAAGGCTGGAAGTTGAACAAGCCCCTGTGAAATCTGTGTGGCATCAAGCTCTAGGAGGTTGACTAAATCCTAAGAATTAAAAAATAATGGTGTATTGCATTAGCAGGGAGGAATAACAGCAAGATATGTCCTTATGCTGGCCATTTGTTTCAAAGCTCATGCACTGCTTTCTGATTTTTTTCCCGATCTCTACCAAAAGCTCTGGCAGTATTTGAAAACAGAGAAAAAACAGTCAACGGTCATTGGATGCCTACATACTCGAGCATGATCAGAAATGTGCCCAAAGTCACTCATTACGAGCGTCCAGGCTAGGAGAGCACATTTCCTATCAGCAATGACACGCTTCGCATCCATGTGTTAGCCAATTGCACAAGAACGGTCCCAGGCTATGATCCAAAGCCATCTTCCTAGAAACGTCGCATCTTGGGGGGTCACAAAGAACAGCTCAGATGACAGCGCAATAGAAGTTTGGTTTAATGCTGTAGGTTTTGCTGGGCTTTTCTCTCCGTATTTGTCCTAAGGAACTGTTTGTGTCCTGCTTGTGGAGCTACAGCCCGTACGTCCCCCGGCGAGGCGATCTGCATCTCCGAGCCCAGGTGCACGTCTCAGTCCTTGTCTGGGTTTGGTGAAGGTGTGGGACTGCTCCTCCGCAGAGCATCGTCTGCTCCGACCAGCTTGGAAATGCACGAAATCTCGTAGTGCAGGAAGGGGAAGCGCGTGACACACGTCCCACCACCTGCCCCCACACAACGCCTTCCCGGGGGGTTTTGTGGGTGACTTCAGACATCTTCCCGCGCCAAGAGCTGGCTCTACCTGGTAAGGATGCCCAGCTGGTGGGTTTCTACCCTTCTCGCAGGACGTATCTGCCTTTCCGCTCCAGGTTGCTGCTGAAGTGGATGGAGAACCAGAGGAATGAAGTCAGGATCATCCCATAAACCTAAAAGGAAATAAATGAGACAGACAAACAATTAAATGCTGAACTGATTATGATGCTCCGTCTGTGCAAATAAGCAATCATAAATGTTGCCTGTTAGTCCACTTGGCACTTCTGAGTATCAGGATGTCACATTTTTCTTAAGAGAGCTGTTTTTCAGTAAAATGGTGAACACCAATTCCAACATGGGAGAGAAAAAAACCCCAACACATGGTTAAAGCATCTGATTGGAATTAACAGAGTGCGGCTCAAACCCAGTCCTAAAAATATCAAGAAATGAGATGAAACCAGGAAATTCAGATTTCAAATTCCTGCCACGAAACATTCTTCTATGCAAACAAACATTGCTCTCTCATAATAGCTTTTTGTACAAATTACATAGGGAGAAAAAAGCCAAACCTCATGTATTGTTTGGAGTAAAAAACCCAACAAAACAAAAAACCCTGACAAAACCCAAACCCCACCCCATGCACATGAATGGTTGTGAATGCAGAGAACCATATACTTCCTCTGTATTGTGATATTCTGCCTGGTATATCACACATCAGGATTTACACAGCCGACATATCAAAGGTAAGGCTGCTGTGGGAAGGATAACGAGGGCTGCAACAACGTGCTTTTTCCTAAACGTCTGCCTTAACGTGCAAGGGCCTTTTTTATCTGGGGACATGTGTGTGTTGTTGGCCGAGGGACGGTGACATCAGAGGAGCTATAGCCCTCATCATGCGCTTCCTTTGCATCCTGCCACCACAATAGTGAACCGTGCGGTGAGATTTCCTCTCGCGCACGCTTCAAAGACAGCTGCCTTATCTGGCTATAGCATCAAGCTGTGAAAAAAGATACATATGATAAAAACGCTCCCGCTTTTGTCTGAATACAGCTGCAGTGAAATTCTTCCTATACCTGAGAAAAATTAGAAAGCGACACCAAATATTCACACATGACTTTACATTTATAGCCCCATAGGAATGCCTGATGGTTTTCCTAATTTACTACTAGCGGTATAAAATACAAAAGGGTTTGTTCCTCTGGGTTTTGTTTAGATGGAGAAGACTCTTCTAACCCATAATTGTGCCAAGGCGGACACAAGTAGTAAATCAATCTCCAAACAGACATTCAGTCAGGAAAGGTCACCTCAGCTGGGGCACAGCATGGAGACATCAGAGCAGACCAAACATCCCTTTGTGGTGAAGAAACGTCTCCTGGCGTTTTCTGGCGTGCTTCACCACACGTGCAGGGCCCTCGTGTAGAGGTAATTACAGTGATAGACCTCTGGCGAGCAGTGGGTGGGCACGCGAGCAGACTTGTTTTAATCAGCGGTGCTCGCCAGCTCCAAAGGGACCGTCCCCACACAGCCACCGAGGCCCTTCGCCGCTGACGGACACACTCCTCTCGCAGCATTTCATATTTTCTTTCGCCCTCCCCCAAATAAGACTCACAAATTCAGGACGGACCCTTTCTACCCAAGCCATCCTCCAAAGATGATCCTCCTTCAGAGACAGCGCCTGAGAGCCCAGGCAACACGCTCTGCTCCTCTCCTTTGCAGCCTGCTCCTCACGAGCCTGCGCTTCACCCACCCACTGCCCGAGATGCACCTTACCGCGTTCGTTAGTGGTCGTTAATAGGATGAGACCTTCCCCTCCCGCACAGCTCTCCGGCTAGCTTTCAAGACCTTCCAGCTCCAGCCGCACAAAGCGACTTCCCAAGCCGAGCTGGGAGGCAGCCAGCGAGCGCTGGGCAAGGAGAAGCAGCAAGTTTCCTAAAACACGGAGCTGTTACTGCACCTCCTTTTCCACAATTGCTGCTGGCTTCCCACCTCATCCGCAAGCCCTGTGCCAGGGGACATGGCCTCTTGCTTGCAGGAGAAGATGCACAGGCGAGCCTGGGCAGATGAAATGCAAATGCTCTGCAGCCCGCTCCCGCTGCTCCCCGCTCCCAGCTGCCGTGCCTGGTTTGGGCAGAAAAACCGTGCAGCGAGCCTATTTCTGCAGGAAGAGCCCTCTGGCCATCAGCCTGGCCAAGACAGGTCCTGGCCCTTTCTTAATTTCCACAGTGGAGTCTACCACCGCCTGTTTCTCTGCTGCCGGTCTCCAAAATCATCCGAAATCCTAGATTCTGGGGACTAATTTAGGGTACATCTCCCCCGCTGGAGCCTGCCTCTTGGGGCCAAAATGCAAAGGAACAGACATAGCTACCATGAAGCCGATGGTGACACCCAGGAGCGTGGAGACGAAGTCCATGTGCTTCTTCAGAAAGTTGTGGATCTCTCGCAGGCAGTCCTGGGAGGAGACAGACACCCCTTGCAGCACGGCAGCAGCTCGGGGGGGCTTCGTCCCCCCAACAGTGCTGCCACGACCCCAAATAGAAACGGAGGCAAGGGGGGCACGCAGCATTGCACGGCTGGGCTGCTCCGTGGGCAGCTCTCCTTTTTTCTGCCGCTTGCTGCAACTTGGGAAGACAAACATCTGCAGTATTTTCAATTACTACAATACGCCTACGATTTTCTTGGTATGATGCGTTTCGGACTGTGGGGGATGTGCGTGTGCACAGGTAAGTGTGGTCATGCAAAAGCTTTTTTCTTTCCACCCACTGGAAAACGGAAAGGGGGAAATGAAAAGATGGAAAAGCAGAGCACACCATAATGCTAAATACGTTCCCCAAAGATACTAATGAACAGCTTTATTTCACAAGGTGTCACAAGCATTAATATACATTAGCCTTAAGCATGCCAGCGGCCCCATGGAAATCCAGGTGTCAGCCAAGAGAGCCATTTAAAGAAATGCAAGAGCATGCCCTCGATGAAGTGATTTGCAGAGCGAGGTAACAGCGCTCAAAGCCAGGAGTGAATGTAGTGCAGCTACCAAAATTTGCAGTTCCCCAGGTTGCAAAATGCATCCTCCCACCCACGTGCCCCAGCTCGCAACCAGAGGAAACACAAACCATGAGCTGGGGGAGGAACAGAGCCACCCATACGGTGCCTGGTTTTGCTCTGCTCTCCCTTCCTGCTCTTTGAGCCGAGTTCCACCCTGCTTCGAGACGTGACGTTCCCAGAGGCGGTGCTTTGAAACGCTGCCCCGCAGGCTGACGCACCCCCACGCATCACAGTGTCCCGTTAGACACTGTGTAAGCTTGACATCTTCGCTTAACAACAATGTTTTTGTATAGCTGTAGCAACACGGTTTTGTTTTTCCTAAGGACAACATACATATGATGCTGGTGGCTTTAGCCACTTCAGCTGATTTGGCTGCTCCAGTGGAAGAAAAATAATCATACAATAGATTTGCTCAGAGAGCATGAAGTCTATGTTGCAGCTTCAGCACAGAGGCAATCTAATACTGGTGGCTTCTCCATCAACCTCTCTGAGGTACTGCAGACAGGAGGAATTAAGTGTATTTGATGAAGCTTCTGCTGGGCATCATCATCCTGCTTCATGAATTTCTCATTTTAATACCCATTTAATGCCCTGGGAAAAACAAATTACAGCAAATTCCATATCTGCTGTTAGTGGGAGACTTCTTAAGCCTCAGAAACTAGTGTCACGTGGAAAAGCCCAACTTTTTTTTGAGCTCTGACATGCCTATGATATCTCACACTCTCTGCACATGCAGGAGATGAGGAGGAAGCTGGAGGGAAACGACAGGCTGCAAATGCAAGCATTTTGAAGGCTTTCTAGAGCTGCAAAGGATACCGCATCTGCAGGTGTGAGACGTGCTGATCCACCAAGACTCCTTCAGTGGGTGAGACGCCTCCTTACTGAAATAACAAAACCCCAGCAAAACAAACCCCAACCCACAGCAACACCAACCCACGAAAAAGCCACAATTGTTGTTAACACTTCAACACCAGTGAGGTTTTAACACTTAGCAAGTAGCAGCACAAACCCCACTGTGGGGTGGAAGAAACATTTCCCTTACCTGTTCCGCATCACCCTCCTGGCCGGGTGGGCACGTCTCGTGCTCAACATTGGTCGTGTCCCCAAACGGAGAGTGCTTCCCACAGCACAGGAACTGGAAGAGAGGGAGAGGTGTGCCAGCGGCTCACCAGGGCTCTCCCCTCACCGCCAGCTGGTGCGGCAGGAGGTGCTGGCGATGGGCCACCCTTCCTCCCTGCTGCCCCAGGCAGGGCTATGCAACCGGGGCTGTGAGGAGCGAAGCACATAGGTATGCAATCGACAGCTCCAGCAATGGAGGTTAAATTCAGGGGAGGTGGATGGATCTGGCCGCAAAATTGCCCGTGGTGCTCCAGGACTGCTGCCTGGGGCTGGGGGCAAGCCCTCCCTCCGTCCTCACGCCAGCTCTCACAGTGGCTGCTCTGGAAAACCCAGGGATGCACAGAGTCATGTTTCCAGCTCTTGTTATGGACTCGGGGGGGAGTGTCCCCAGCAACACCCACTGTGGAGCTAGTTTCCTATAGCCACGGTGAACTGGCCAGCATGGAGCTCTGGCAGAAGGAAGAAGGAAAAAAAAAAAAAAGGAGTAGAAGGACTGTTTCTCCACCAATTAAAGTGGCTAAAATAAGCAACTGATGAAGCTGGGTGTTGAGCCTGGTTCTCCTTGCCAAGCAGGACTCCGGGTGGGCTGCTCCACAGCCCTGCAGAGCAAGCACCACCACGCCTGGCCAAGGCTCCGAGGGCCACCACCATCGCTGCAATGAGAAACATTTGCCCTTTTCTACATTTTGAGAAGCACGGGTGAAAGCAGCTTCAGAAAGTACTTGTTACGATGATTTAAGAAAACACAGAAGGATAAAGGGAGTTGCATGGGAGGTGTCTGGAAACAGGTGAGTGGAGCTGACCTTCCCGTCCAGCCCTGCTGCATGCCATGAACTCACTACCGAAATGGGCCCTGCTGCGTGAGGAGACGGCATCTCCTTTACTCAGCGGGGACCCAGGAGTTTCTCACCACGGGGGACATCCTCACTCATCTTCTGCGGCTTTGAGGACAAGCGTCCTCCCTGTGCTCTGGGCAACCACCCTTGGCCACCCACTGAGCTACAGAGAAGTCCCCTGCGCCAACAGCGCCCTGGGTGGTGGTTTCTGGGAGCTTGCTAGCAGTCTCCAGCACTGCAAGAGGCCACGTAGCCTCCAGTACTCCTCAGCCGTAGGCTCAAGGATAAACAGAAATAACCAAGTCCAAATACTTCTGCTGGACAATGTGGAATTCTCCCCCTCTCTCTACCTGACCGGGGACACTGGAGGTGTATATCCACTTTCTCATACAACAGATAGGGAGCACGGCAGAGTGCCTGCCGAGGCAGACTATATATGTATATATATGTCAGCTGCAGTGTGGCAGCTTTGAAGATCTCGCAGCAGAACGATGCTCAGGTAGGCAGCCCTTTCCTCCCGTCGATAATCTGGTTGGTCAAGCCTGGGAAAGGAAGAGTAGGAAGGGAGGAGCAGACCTCACAGCAGGCTGGAGGGCTCGGTTCCTGAGGGAGAACGGCACTGCAGCATCCATGAGGCAGAGCACAGGTGTCAGTCCCAGCCTGCTGAAACCCTCGGGAAGATACCCCAGGGCAAGGTTTTCTGCTAAGGCTGAAAGACAACTTACTGCTTCGTGGATGGCAGTCAGCTCGTGCCTCCTGAAGCTGGAGGCGTTCCTCCTCACCTCCTCGTACACAAGATCGTACACATCCATCACGCTGTCTTCCACCTGCGATGAAAGCAGAGATCCGTACATGCAAAACACTGACCGCAGTCATCTCTGGAGGGAAATATGCTCCTCTCGCGTCCGCCCAGAAGCTCTCCCAGGTACAGCAAGACAAGCAGTGCAGCTGCTCAATGACCACCGCGCAGCAGCAGGAGCTGCTGTATGACCCACCACACACCAAGGGGCACCTATGACATGGCGAGTCCCACGTCTGCATGTGTGTCTCCTTCTGCTATGTGTGGACCCTTGGGCATCACGCCGGGGTCTCACCAGCTGACAGCTGGAGCTTTTGGCCAGTTTTGGATTTAGTGTCAGAGAAGAACACAGGTGCCAGTGACCAGCCTGCCTCCGAGTCCCTCTGCGAGGCAGGGATGACGCCATCTCCCCACCCTGGTGGGGGACTGTGAGGACAGGCACACGTGACTGTGAGATGCTAAAATACAAAGGTGAGAGGATCTCAGATGGCTGGTGTTATCCCAGTGACAGAGCAGTTCCTCCGAATAGAGCCAAAAAAATAACAGAGTGATTCAGCGGTGAATCAGACCCAAAATATTTACTAAACGTGTGAGAACTCACAGCTTGACAGATCCCAGTCAACTCCCGCTCGGGTTTCGAAGGAAAAAGTATGACAATTGCCTTCAGCGCCTGGAGTCAAAACCTTATTTCTTCCTTTCGTTTTCCCTCGCTTCCTCAGCGGCATGGATCCGAGCGGGCTGCAGGCAGCGCTTGGCTTTCAGGAGGGAAAATCAATCGGCAAGACAGGCAGAGCGGGTGGCCGCATGGGGAGGGACAGGCGCTCCAGCAACAGAGCCATCTCTCAGGGAAGCTTTTCAGCTCAGTCTTAAGGGGCTGCGCTTGGAAATTACTCTAAGGGGAAAAAAAAGACCCAACGCTGTCTGCTCAGGGGTGAAACCAGGGTCATTCGAGGTGATTACAGCCAGTACTGCAATATTGCTTGACTCTGCCTGGCTGTCCAAAATGCAAGAAACTAACAGAGGTTGATAACCAGGGAGGGGAGAGAGGGAGGTTGAGAAGATTACTTGTGTCCAGCTTGGCTCCATGCCACCAGAAATAGAGCTTAAAGGCTCACATCAGAAGATTTTCCATGGCTATCAATACGGCATAGAAGTGGAGGGGTTTGGGGGTTTCTCTGCAGCAAAACTGCTGTCCCCCTGTGACACTCCATCACCCATCACGGAGCAATCAGTAGGTGAGGCAGGAGCAACCCAGCTTTAACGAGAGAGGTCTGATGATGGACGGGGCACAGATATTCTGAGCCAAGGAAAAAATCCTCTGCAGCAAGGTGCACGATGCTGAGCTGTGCCCCGCAGGTGAGGAGGGAGGATGCTCATTTTGTCACCCCCATGTATCAGAGTGCATTGAGTGGGATGGGCGCAGCAGCGAGACAAGATCCCTAGCAGACTCGTGCACCATCCTTCTCCTGAACAAACCTTACACCCCAATAAAAAGGAAAACATCCAAGCTTTTCTAACTTCTTGTGGGCCATGAAATAGCTTTCCAGCAGCAGCAATCAAATTAATGGATTCAATAAAAAGAACGTCCATTTCCACTGAAGAATTGGATTAAGAATAATGAAAAAAGAATAATCTTTTGACCTCCTCTTGCGGCCTCATGTTGCTGAGGAAGGAAGGAAGAACAGAGCAGCTAGCTTCTTAACCCAAGAGATTATTACCTTTTGAATATCCCAACCCCAGTCTAAGATGCAGGAATAAAAACTATTTTGTGTTGTGACAACGTAAATATGGGTCTCGGCAAGGTAATGGTGCTGCATGTGTAATTTTTGCCTTCTCATATTTATCATTAGGCTCGGGGTGCTGAGCTTCCCTCCAAAAGGCCTAAATTTGGATGACTTTAAAAAAAAAAAGTTAAAAAAGGGTTCAAGCAAGTTGCTATGTTCAAGCAAGGGTTCAAGGGTTGAAAGCAATCCAGAAGTTTAACTACTTCTAAAGGTCTACTGAACTCTGGGCCAGAAAATGTTGGGACAGGTAGTTTTAAGCCCTCTGACTTGGTGGGGCACATTCCCCCAAAACCTCATGAAAACTGGTAAAAATGCTCCTTTGACTGCAGTGAGTTTTGGGCTGGATCTCGCTGCTTACTTTACAACTGTATTCAGCTTAAACCAAGGTAAGATGAGACTTTGTCCAGTGACAAAGACCACCACAGGCTCCCTAGCAGCAAAGCAGGCTCTGACCATGCCATCAGAACCAATTCACGATGCAGGAAAGTCAATGCTTATTAGTGTTTTGTGCTGATAATAAACCTCAGGGCTCAACTGAGGCTGATGTCCTCCTCAGCAGCTTCTCCGGTGGTCGTCCTGCACTAAGCAACCTGGGAGGGAGGCAGGTGAGCTGCCCAGATGTTGACAGCTGCTGGCTGCTGCCTGAAGCTGCCTGCAGCTGCAGCCAGACTGGCGAGCTCCTGCCGGCTGCATGAAACCACGAAAGCATCGCTTTGATCAGGAGAGGTCCTGCCTGATGCAGTGGTGCATGTTTGCACCTTCCTCGTTGTGTTAGGTACCATGCAATGACATTAAACATTGAGATTAAGGCTGTTTGAAAGGTAAGAGTGGATAGGAAGGAACTGGAGGAACAAGATGCCCATAACAAAGCTGTGGCAGAAAATTATTCCAACTGTTGGAAACAATAAGGGAAGAAAGCACGAGCAGTCACCGTTTAACAGCCAGCTCGACTACAGTAACGGTGACAATGATGAGGGTAATCTCCAGGTACGTAACGACTACTAAAGACTTCAATTGCACCCTGTTTCTGAGCTGGCTTCTCAGTTATTTACTGATTTTTTTTTTTTTTTCATTTTGTCAAGCAGCCTCCAAGAACTGAAAGCACAAGGGATTAAATGGAAAATGTTTTATAGCAATAATTTCCTTTTAGAATGTGTGTCTGGGCAAGCCTAAGAGTACAATTTGCTGATTAGTCGTTCTCAGCATTTCTATCTAGCAATTATATCTAGCATTTATATCCAGCTATTATCTGAATACACTATTCAGATCCTAGTAAGGGAATATAAAACTACAAAACCATTTTTTAAAGAGTGACTTTAGGAATTGACTGTAGTTCCTCCACATCATCCTTCTGATTTTTGCTAGGATCATTTGATTTTGGAGGGGAAAATTGCTGGCTTCGTACAATGCAGCGGTCTGTTTTCAAAGATTACTGCAGACAGCTTTCTCATTTACATATTTCAGAAGTAGGTATAAAGTACTAAAGCTCAGTATTTATCACCGGCTGTTTCCTTCTGTGCAGCAGACCATGCCACAGAGCATATGAGAGGTCTAGTTTAATAACAGACATACGAGAGCAAAAGATTGCACTAACAAGCCATCATTTTAGCAACTTTTCTGCCTAGGATGGGGTCATGTTTATACTCAGAGCTACAGTCAAGCTCTGAAGCACTGGTCGTGTGTGGCAGCATCTATCCAGCCCAAAATGTCATGCTAACTCATGCATGCCTAACAATGTAAAAAATAAAACCTGAAAGCATGAGACAGTCACCAGGTGGTTTCATGACCTATCCTTATTTGCAACATTATTTAATCCACCAGGTGCAAGTTCATCCCTATATTTTCCTTTGATCTGGGACATAACACAGTGAAGAGCTAGACTGCAGCACTGCTTTGTACTCAACTGTCATCCTCAACAGATGCCCATCGCACACTCCATTGATAGGCAACTTTTGAGACCACTGCCTCAAAATAATTTTCTTTTTCCATTTCTTACACCAGGTGTTGGAGAAAAAAAAAATTAAAAATAATCAGAGTGCTTTCTCTCATGGTTAAGAAACATGATGCCTTTTGAGTTTGAGTGGTTATGCTGATACTGTTAATAACATGCTTTAAGAAAACCACAGCTGTGCCCCATCCCTTAACTCAGACAGTAGTTAGTACGTAATGGACCGATACAGCTGGAGAAGAGAAAGTCTGTCTGGGCTTTTTTTTGAAAGGTCTTACACTGTCCCCACACATAAGCATCATTATGGTCAAGTGGATTTTCCTGTTCCTAGTGACATGCTGTGACCCACTGCTGGAGGAGTATTTCTGTATGAAGCTCTCCCTTGGAAGGAGACTGCACCTGTGATGCTTGTCCGTAAAAAACCAAGAGCTGAAGATGAAGCATCAGCTGGGCTTTGGCTTAAGAAAAATCTCCAGGTTAAGTGATATGGAGGTCACACCTTACAGCAATTCTTTTCCAGGAAGAAGTTGTGTGAAATGTTCCAGCTCTAAATTAGTCAAATATAATTGCCGTCTCCCATTTCTGCCTACATTCCTTAATGAAACATTCATTTAGGGATGATATCGATGGGTTGCTGGATACAACAAATGGAAAATCACCACTGAGATTGATGCTGCTGACTCCAGCTGACTCAATAGAGTAACATTTTTCACTTAAAGTAAAAGAAAGAAGGAATTTTGAGATTGTTTATCATCCTCTAAATCCTTTATCCCCCAAGAAGCAGAATTTATGACTGCAGGAAGGCATTTACACTAAGCCATTAGTGTTCTTGCCCTTGGCTATTAGAAACTAAAGCAAATTTGTCTTACCTCCTTCAAGAGGAAAATTGACATTTTTGACTTAGGCTATTTATGAAGGATAATTTTTTACCTGTGTTGTGGTTTAACCCCAGCTGGCAACTAAGCCCCACACAACCACTAGCTCACTCCCCGCTGCTGGAATGGGGGAGAGAATCAGAAGAGCAAAAGTGAGAAAACTCATGGGTTGAGATAAAGACAGTTTAATAAGCAAAGCAAAAGCCACGCACGCAAGCAAAGCAAAACAAGGCATTCATTCACCACTTCCCATGGGCAGGCAGGTGTTCAGCCATCTCCAGGAAAGCAGGGCTCCATCACGCCAAATGGTGACTTGGGAAGACAAATGCCGTAACTCTGAACGTCCCCCCCTTCCTTCTTCTTCCCCCAGGTTTACATGCTGAGCATGATGACATATGGTCTGGGATATCCCTTGGGTCGG